AGATATTAAAATATTTCTCAAAATCCAGCAGCAACCCGGTTGAAAGGTAAACTGGTGCAGTTCACTTAAAATGACATGTAAAATTCTAAAGAAATCAAAACCACATGATTTCAAATTTACTCAGTAGCTAATCCATGACACTATCAAATCCGATTGGTTTCATCCGGAAATTCCAAGTAACGGTGGAGTTAGGAAATTTTGAAGTCAAGGCAGAAGCTGGGAATACGACGACTCTACCCAGTGCAGTTTACTTTATGCAACATATAAAATTCTACCGACATCGGATTGACATGATTCCAAATTCACTCAATATGAGACTATCCAACGCCACTAGTTTTATATAAAAATACCAAGTAATGAACGAGTTATGAATTTTTAAATATGAGGCAAAATCTAATTTAAAGAAAACGTAAACATTTCATAATCAACTAAAGATATTAAATCACCGGCTTCTCCATGGCATGTCGCATCATCTTTTATCATCATTCACGTCCCAAGGAAAATCCCTTCAACCTATAAGAATGGAATTAACCCATGAGTTTGAAACTCAATAGATATCATCGGTGCATTTCATTGTCAAATTAGAAGTTTCGAACTATAGTGAAAGGGCGGTGATTCAACACCCTTTTGTTTACCCGGTAATGTTTAGCGTTTCCACCACTCCGTCAAGTATGCAAGTCCTGAAAAATGAAGGTGGGGCTTTTTCCCCCGTTTTACCTCCGGCGTGAGAATTAGTTTTCAGACTTGGAAAGAATATACTTGAAATTCAGATGGCAAAAATGAGAATGGGAGCCAGAAAAAAATCCCTTACCTGTGTCACATCCGGGGGTATTTATAGATAATAGGCACTAGGTAACCGCTGGGCGGTTGTGGTGCCACGTGTCCCACGATGGTATTCCCACTACACCCACGTTCTGAGTGATGAGTCCTTAACTTCCCGTCTGAAGATTGTACCTGTATCATCGGCCATGTAACCTTGTCAATTCATTAAAGGTTTTATGGCTAAGTGTTTGGACAAGGAATATCATTCCCGTTGAGGATTCCGCTTAGTGGGAGAATGATTTCTAGGGATAGCGATAGAGCGCCCTTTGGGGGTTGTGGTAGAGCGCTCCCTAGACGTAGTGGTAGAGCGCTACCTGGGTGTAGTGGTAGAGCTACCTATGGGGGTCGATGGCCTTGCATCGGTGTGCTGTGATCTGCCTTGCTTGTCCTTGAGGGTGGCTACTTCTACCAACCTATATCATTAGCCCCTCTTCCCCTTGTCGATGTTTTCAGCAAAGGGTAGCAATTTTAGGTTGGTTTGAAACCTTTTTTTTTTATTATATAAAGAGAGGAATAGTTCGTATTAGCAAATCGAACTATATAAACACGATCGAGTGGCAATTCTACTGTACACATGGATCCTCACTAATGGTTTTAATATTGGAGGGAGATTTCCCTCCAATTCTCCCCCCCCCCCCCAAAAATTTGAATTCTAGTGTTATAAAAGGGGGTAATTCTCATTCTAGAAAATCACTTTCATTTTCTTTCAACATCCTAGGCTTCCTCTCTTCTAAGGTAATCTCCTCTCTTTTTTTTTTAAATCCAAGGTCTTGCTTTAAATTTCTTCTCTTCATCATCTTTGTTGTCATGTATAAAACTATTATTTCTTCTCCTTCCAATGAAAAAAGTGATGGGGGGTGTAGTGATTCGACCGGACCTTCGTCAGAGGGTGCCGGAGAGAGTCCGACCTACCCACGGGGGGTCGATCGCCGACCAGCAGGGCTGGTCGATTTGTCGACCAGCCCGAAGGCTGGACGTCCCCCGCCACCCATTAAGTCCCGTGGCTTGTCCGGTCCTTCGATCCGTCTAGTGACTCGCCCCCTTCATCCGGCAGATCCCTTTATGATAGTGATAGTGAAACTCATTCAATTGATTCTCAGCAGTTTGTTCCAAATCTCCCAAAGAGACACATTGGTTCTTCTAAATCTCCAAGCCAAAATTTGGAAATCGAGCGTGACCCGGCTGGTGAGGTTGTCCCCCTAAATATCCCAAAAAGTTATAGTCTCTACAATTCGCCACTTAAGTTGAAAAAATGTCTAGGTAAGTATGACTGGGTTGATGATTACGTCTATAGAGCCCCTGGTCCTAAAGAAAGGCTCCCTGGGTCCGACCCCCGTGAGATAGCCATGTACAAGGATGTTATGGACGGGGGTTTTTGGTTCCCCATTCATCCCTTTTTTGTGTCGATTTTCAACGAGTTCCATCTTACTCCTAGTCAAATTAATCCTAATGCATGGAGAAAAGTGTTATATTTTCTGTATGTCTGTCTCAAAAAGCGAATTTCACCTTCCATGGATCTCTTCAGGTGTGTCTTCGAAATGCATGAGCTAGTTCAATGTAATGCCTTTGTCTATTTTACCACTAGGATACCCATGCAATTCCCTAAGTTTAGGAATTCGAATAGTGGATGGAAGTCCCGATTTTTCTTCGTTCGGCCTTCAAAGGGTCAGTTTTCTTTTAACACAAACTGGCGACACCCCCAAATTCGTCTCTTCAATAGCCAAGTAGAAGTTACTCCCTTTCTAGAAGCTCAAATCCAGGACTTGGTTGATGTACCGCCTTTTGCACCTGACTTAGGGTCAGTCCTAACCATGAAGAACATGTTGAAAGTGGGGATGAGTCATCCAATCGGTAGGTCGTTTATGTTGTTTTTCCTTTTTTTTTTATCGCATGCACACACGTTCATTTATTATTTTTGCCTTTAGCTCGTCGAGACTAATGAGTTTGGATGTTTGTTTTAGGTATGGACTTTGATCTTGATGAGGTATTGAGGACTCTGCCAGGAGGAGATGAGGGGCTTACCCTTGTTGATGGTAAGCTTTCATGTTCACCCCCATCCTCTCTCTCCCCCCCTCTTTTTTTTTGTACTCTACCTTGTGAGCTTAATCAATTTCAACTTACATGTGCAGGGGCCGAGCTTGATCTGGAAGGAGTCATGGATTCCATGCCTGACCAGGGGCAGGAGGGTGAGTTGGATTCTTTGCCTATTCCTTCAAAGAAAAGGAGGGGGGCCGACCTTGGGAGAAAGTCTCAGACGATCAACGAGACTTCTCAGCCTTTAGATGAGCCTCGTGATGTGGTTCCAGCTCCTAGGCCGGAAGCTCCTAGTCGTGCGCGAGGTGAGCGCGAGGACTCGCTTCCTAACTATGGGTTTCCTCCCACCCGGGGCTATCATGAGATGGGGGTGCTTAAGTCGTTGGTGACCCTCGCTCGATCCAGAGCGATTGCAGGGTGCAGCGCAGATGACATAGAAAGGGCTACGGCTGTTTACCTTCAGAGGGTATGTTTCTCATTTTGAGATTTCTTTCATGTTGGATCTCGCCTTTTAAGTTAGACTTTAACTCGTGGTTTCACTCTTTTTCCCCTTATACTTTTTTTTTTTAGGTGGTGGCCCTCCAGACCGGACTCACTGAGTCGAATCGCCGCCTGGTCTTAGAGCTGAAAACTCTTACTGAAGAAAAGAAAAAGGAGGCTCATCACCACAAGAAGAAAATATCCTCCTTAAGGAAAACTCTGGAGATGTCGGACGCTCGAGCTCGTGAGCAAGAGACGGAGATCAACAACCTACGTTCTATTTTGGCTCGTGCTCCTAAAGAGGCGGTTGAGAGGTATAAGACCTCAGATGAGTACGCTGGAGATCTCAAGGCGGCTGTGGATCAGTATAAGACATCGTCCGATTATGCTAAGGCTTTGAACTCATACGGGGGGAAGGTGATGTCAGCGTCAATTAAGCTCTCCAAGGAGTGGATTATGGCCGAACATCCTTCTATAGACCCCTCGGACTTGGATAGATTTCTCGCACAGCGCAAGGGGAAGGAGGGTGTAGCTCAGTCATCCAGATCACTCGGTCGTTCATCGCAAGGTGGTAGTGGGGATGTCTCCCCTTCAAGCTGAAGCATTTCTTAGTTGTTGTTTTCTTTGCTAGTTTTTCCTTATTAGTGTTTACTTTTTCTTAGCCTTGTTATCTCCTACTTGCTCAGGATGTGGGCAAGAATTCTTCGAATGTATAAACACGTCTTTCATTCGATATTATTGACGCTGGATGCGTGGTTCCTTTAAAATGTCGCCTCTCATGTTATTTTTCTTTTTACTGCTTGATGGTGCGGGGATATATATATATATTATTTTTTTTTTACGGCTCTCTGCCTAGTCGCGTAGGCTACGTCGACCGCAGGTGGCGATTTGGCGATTAAGGGCCTTAGCCAAATTTTTGACTTGCCAAGGATCTCCACCTAGCCGCGTAGGCTATGTCGAACGCAGGTGGCGATTTGGTGGTTAAGGGCCTTAGCCAATTTTTTGACTTTTCAAGGCTCTCCACCTAGCCGCGTAGGCTATGTCGACTGCAGGGGGTGATTTGGTGGTTAAGGGCCTTAGCCAATTTTTTGACTTTCCAAGGCTCTCCACCTAGCTGCATAGGCTATGTCAACCGCAAGGGGTGATTTGGTGGTTAAGGGCCTTAGCCAATTTTTTGACTTTCCAAGGCTCTCCACCTAGCTGCATAGGCTATGTCGACCGCAAGGGGTGATTTGGTGGTTAAGGGTCTTAGCCAATTTTTTGACTTTCCAAGGCTCTCCACCTAGCCGCGTAGGTTACGTCGACCGTAGGGGGTGATTTGGTGGTTAAGGGCCTTAGCCAATTTTTTGACTTTCCAAGGCTCTCCACCTAGCCGCGTAGGCTACGTCGACCGCATGTTTTAGTGGGATGGGCGTGGATTTCAAAGTTGCCTGTTGGCATAAAAAATTCCTGGTCTTGTGAGCTCAGTAGGCGCACCGGGACGTCCTAGCTAGGCTGGCCCTTCCGCAGCGCCCTCATCATCCGTCACCGCCAAGGTCTTTCATTGAATAAGATAAATTGTTACAACTAAGGGTGCCTTCGTGAGGCATTACATAGAGAAAATAAACAATGCAACCTAATCTACTATATTTACAAAAGCGCAGCCGGCGTGTACATTTTGAGTTCTACTGGTAATACTTTTTGAGGTGTTCTGCATTCCATGGTCTACCTAGCGGCCTTCCTTTTATATCTTTCAAGCTGTAAGCTCCCTTTCCCAGCCTACGAATTACTTTGTACGGGCCTTCCCAGTTTGGACCAAGCTTTGGTGGGGGGTCTCCTGCCGCCGCTGCATCTCTTAGAACGAGATCTCCTGGCTGGAAGACCCTTGGCTTCACTCTCCGATTGAAGTACTCAGCCTCTCTTCGTTTATAAGCCATCATTCTTATCGCCGCCTTGTCCCTTACCCCTTCAAGGAGGTCGAGTTCTCCCCTAGTTGCTGCGTCGTCTGGTTGCTTGACTTTCATCCTTCCTGTCTCGCTTAAGATCTCAACCGGAACTACGGCTTCCATCCCAAATGCCAGTTTGAATGGCGTCTCCCCGGTCGACTCTCGGGGGGTAGTGTGATATGCCCATAGTACATTGGGCAACTCCTCAGCCCAAAGTCCTTTTTCTTTTTCTAACCTTGTCTTCAAATCCCACAGTATGGTTCGGTTGGTCACTTCAGCCTGCCCATTTGCCTGCGAGTGAGCAACTGAAGTCAGCCTGTGGTCGATGTGGTAGCTTGTACAGAAGGCTCTAAAACTGTGATTATCGAATTGTTTTCCATTATCTGTAATGATTACCCGAAGTATACCAAACCTACATATGATATTTTTCCAGACGAATCCCTGTATCTTTGCAGTCGTTATGGTAGCCAAGGGCTCAGCTTCCACCCACTTAGTAAAGTAGTCGACGGCAACTAACAAGAACTTCCTTTGTCCTTTTGACAGGGCAAAGGTCCCAAGATGTCCATCCCCCATTGGAAGAAGGGACACACCCCGAAAACTGCCGTCTGTTGCTCGGCTGGAATGTGGATCAGATTTCCATGGTGTTGGCATGCATCGCATTTTCTCACCAACTCTCTAGCATCTTCCTTAATACTAGGCCAATAATATCCTTGTCGAAGTGTTTTGAACGCAAGGGTAGTCGCCCCTTGGTGGTTGCCACAAATTCCCGCATATACTTCGACTAGCACCTCCTGCGCTTCTGTCGGTCGCAAACACTTCAAATATGGCATTGTGAAGCCTCGCTTGTAGAGTTGCCCATCGATGATGGCAAATGAGGCTGCCCGAACTTTTAGCCTTCTGGCTGTGAGAGCATCCTCCGACAATTTATTCTTTGTGAGATACTCAAACAGTGGGTCTATCCAACTTTCCTCATTCTCTACATTCATAACATTGATTATGTGTTGGATGCTAGGTTGTCGCAGAATTTGCACACTGGCTGTGCGAGGCAGTCGTCTGGGGTTGGCTGATGCGAGCTTAGCCAGCGCGTCCGCTCGCTCATTGTCCTTTCGAGGGACCTTAGTTATTTTAAACTTAGCGAACCCCTTCTGCAAGTTTTTGACCTCCATTAAATATGCAGCCATCTTTCCGTCCTTTGCTTCGAATTCCCCCGTCACTTGCCCGATTATCAACTGAGAGTCGCTGCAAATTTCCACTGAGGTTACCCCGAGTCTGGCTGCCAATCCCAAACCCGTGATTACAGCTTCGTACTCGACCTCGTTATTTGTAGCAGGGAATTCAAAATGCAATGAGTATTCCAACTCTTCCTCATTCAGACCTATCATTATGATCCCCGCCCCGGATCCTTCGTCATTTGAAGATCCATCGACAAAAATTTTCCAATCTGCCTGCTCCCCTAGTGGGAGCTCGGGTGGGGTGGTGAGCTCAACGATGAAGTCTGCTAAAGCCTGGGCCTTAATAGCTGTCCTTGGCCTGAATTCGATATCAAACTCGCTTAACTCGATGGCCCATTTCAACAACCTCCCAGAGGTCTCGGGCCGATGTAGAATCTGCTTGATAGGTTGGTCAGTCATTACTTGCACCGTGTGAGACTGAAAGTAAGGCCTCAATTTCCTGACCGTGACAATTAATGCAAACACCAGCTGTTCAGTCAGGCTGTATCTTATTTCTGCACCCCTCAATACTTGGCTCACATAGTAGACTGGTTTTTGCGCCTTCGAGAACTCTTTCACCAGGACCGCGCTGACTGCCTTTGGTGATACTGCCAAGTAGAGACACAACACGTCCCCAGGAGATGGACTAGTCAAGACCGGGGGCTCTTGTAATGACTGCTTCAAATTCCTAAGAGACTCTTCGCATTCCTGGGTCCACTCAAAATCGGAGGAGCCCCCTATAGCTTTGAAGAAGTGGTAGCATTTGTCCGCCGCCTGGCTCATGAAACGATTTAAGGCCGCTACCCGTCCCGTCAGCCTCTGAACCTCCTTCCTGCTGGTGGGGCTTTTCATTTCTAGAATTGCCCGAATTTTGTCGGGATTCACTTCGATGCCCCTTTGCGTGATCATGAAACCTAGAAATTTCCCCCCTGCGGTACCAAAAACACACTTCTCTGGATTGAACCTTAATCTGTTTTGTCGGGCAACGTCAAACACTTTCTGCAAACAGGCCACATGGTCATTGGCTCTGGCGCTCTTGACCACCATATCGTCAACATAGACTTCTACGACACCTCTGATTAGCCCACGAAAGACTTTGTTCACCATCCTCTGATACGTTGCTCCTGCGTTTTTCAAGCCAAATGGCATGGCTGTGTAACAGTACGTGCCGAAGTCCGTGATAAATGACGTCTTCTCTTGATCGGCCTCGGCCATTAAAATTTGATGATACCCCAAAAATGCATCTAGAAAGCTGAGCCTTTCATGACCCGACGTTGCGTCTACCAGTTGATCTATTCTGGGAAGTGGGTATGAGTCTTTTGGGCATACCTTGTTCAACCCAGTATAGTCTACACACATACGCTATTTTCCATTTGACTTCTTCACAAGTACAATATTTGCCAACCACTCGGGGTATTGCACCTCTCGGATAAAATCCGCCTATAGCAATTTTTCCATCTCTGCTCTGGCCGTAGCCTGCCTCTCAGGGGCAAGGTTTCTCTTTTTCTGCTTCACTGGCTTAGCCCCTGGCTGGACACCGAGGCGGTGCTGCGTGACAGTTGGGCTAATCCCTGGGATATCCTTTGGGTTCCAAGCGATGACATCCAAATTTTCGGCTAGACACTTCGCCAATTTTTCCTTCTCTTCGGATCCCAAACATGTTCCAACAAGAAACTCCTTTCCTTCGGCAATAGAGATTTTTTCAATCATATCAAGCGACTCGATCAGCTCCCTCGGGAGTTCTACATCCAGCATCATGACTGATGGTGGGCTTTTGGCTTGTATACTATCCACATAGCACTTTCTTGATGCATGCTGGTCTCCTCGCACGCTCCCGATACCCCTGCTGGTTGGGAACTTCATAATTTGATGGTATGTCGATGGGACCGCGCCAGCTGCATTTAGCAATGGCCGACCGTAAATAGCGTTGTAAGCCATGGGGGTCTTGACAACCAAGAAATTAGTCACGATCACCACTGTCGCTGGGTATGTCCCAAGCGTGACTGAAAGCTCTACAATCCCTTCCGGTATCACTGTTGCCCCTCCAAAGCCTTGTAGGGGGGTAGTCACCGCCTTCAACCTTTCTTGGGAGATTTTTAGACCCAAGAAGGCATCCCAGGTGAGGACATTTGCCGCACTCCCTCCATCGACTAACACCCTCTTCACGTCAGAATCCGCAATATCGCCTACTATTACTAAGGCGTCATCATGGGGGTGAGTTACACCAATCAAGTCCTCTTCATTGAAAGTTATACTCTGGTTGAATCTTGCTTTTTTCTATATAGAGCAGACTCCTAATGAACGCGCATAACTCTTCCTAGCTGAATTTGAGTCGCCGCCCGATGCTACTCCTCTGATGATCATGTTTATCACTCCCGCTCTTGGTGGGGGTATACCTTCGACCCTTTGCCTGCCCTTATTGTTTTTCACATACTTTGTCAATAGCCCCCGTCTCAGCAAGCAGATTGGAAAATTTTTGTCGATGGATCTTCAAATGACGAAGGATCCGGGGCGGGGATCATAATGATAGGTCCGAATGAGGAAGAGTTGGAATACTCACTGCATTTTGAATTCCCTGCTACAAATAACGAGGCCGAGTACGAAGCTGTAATCACGGGTTTGGGATTAGCAGCCAGACTCAGCACACCGATGCAAGGCCATCGACCCCCATAGGGCATTCTACCACTACACCTAGGTAGCGCTCTACCACTACGTCTAGGGAGCGCTCTACCACAACCCCCAAAGGGCGCTCTACCGCTATCCCTAGAAATCATTCTACCACTAAGCGGAATCCTCAACGGGAATGATATTCCTTGTCCAAACACTTAGCCATAAAACCTTTAATGAATCGACAAGGTTACATGGCCGATGATACAGGTACAATCTTCAGACGGGAAGTTAAGGACTCATCACTCAGAACGTGGGGGTAGTGGTAGAACGCCCTATGGGGGTCGATGGCCTTGCATCGGTGTGCTGTGATCTGCCTTGCTTGTCCTTGAGGGTGGCTACTTCTACCAACCTATATCATATAGAGTTATACCATCACACGTAGATAGATTTTTGGCAAAATCCAATTACTATAGTATTATCATAACACGTAGAGCCAGAGAATAATCATTCAAACTATTGTAGTACTGAAGCACTGTACCCGAAGGTACCATTTCATTCAAACATTTATCGAAAATCATAATTTGAAACGAAGTAAACACTTGCACCTCTAGGTACCTTGAATTTTCTTGAATATCAAAGAACAAAATGTGTAGAAAGTCTTTCTTTTTCTCACCCTTGTTATTCCCTTAGCTTAAATTAATATGAAATATATTTTTTTTGAGAGAAAATGAGATGAAATTCGGATTTGAAGAGGGGTGTAGTGAAAAAGTAACATTCCACTTCTTGTAACTTTTCTTTTTAATAAAAACTAAGTGGGAAAGTTGTATTATCATAAAATTTATTAAATTTAATCTTTAACTAAGAATTTGAAGAGTCTCGAACTCATAAAAATAATTCATATAAAAGTTTTATAAAAAGATCTACATAGTGATTCAAACCTGGGTTGCCTATATGAAGTTTCATGTAGATGACCATTGTGGCAACCCATTTATTCATTAAATCTTTGTAATCAAATGTTCTTAAACTTAATCTCTTAAATTGTTGGGCTTTTAAGTAACTTATGGCTTGGGGCTTTCAAAATCTTAAATGGGTTGAGCTTTTATAGCTCGTTTCTTGAATGAGTTAGGCTTGTGGTGCTAGATTATCCTAATATAATAGCCTAATTTCATTTTATTTCTTGGGCTTCTACATCCTTTACACCTTAAACAAATTTTGTCCTCGAAATTTACCTTATGGATTGGCAAAGAGTGTCGGATATTTGTCTTTGACTTTTTCTTCTATTTCCCAAGTAGATTCTTCTATTTCATGATTATTCTATTGCACTTTGACTAGTTGAATTTCCTTATTCCGTAATTTATGTACCTTTCGATCTAGTATTTTAATCGATAATTTCTCATAAGATAAATCTTTCTGGACTTCCAAGGGTTGATAATTCATCACGTGATTAGGATCATGCACATACTTCCTGAGCATCGATATATGAAACACATTGTGGACGATTGATAGTTCAGGCGGCAAAGCCAGTCGATAAGCCACATTCTCGACCTTGTCAAGTATTTCAAAAGGTCTGATATAACAAGGTCGTAGTCTGCCTTTCTTACTGAATCTAAGTACACCCTTTATTAGTGCCACCTTTAGAAAAACTTTCTTTCTAACCTCAAATTCCAAGTCTTTTCTTCTAGTATCTGCATAGCTCTTTTGTCTATCTTGCGTGGCCTTTATCCTGGTACAAATCTTATCAATGGCTTCATCTATTCTTTCAATGATCTCTGGTCCCAAAACTCTCTTTTCTTCAACTTCATCCCAATGAACGGTGATCTGCACCTTCTACCATAGAGAGCTTCATACTGTGCCGTTCCAATAGTTGCTTGGAAACTATTATTATATGCAAATTCTACTAAAGATAGATACGATTCCCAACTACCTCTTAGATCCAGAACACAGGCCTTAGCGTATCTTCCAATTTGAATGGTCCTTTTAGATTGACCATCAGATTGAGGGTGATACACTGTACTGAAATTCAATTTCGTTCTCATAGCTTCTTGTAAGCTCTTCCAAAACTTTAACGTAAATCTCGGATCCCTATCAGACACAATGGACACAGGGACACCATGCAATCTTACAATATCTCTAATGTACAACTGCGCCAACTCATCTAGACTAAACGTCATTTTTACAAGAAAAAAATAAGCTAACTTTGTTAGACGATCCACTATTATCTATATAGCATTGTGTCCTCTTGCTGACTTTGGAAATCCTACCATAAAGTCCATTGCGATATTTTCCTAGGAAATTCAAGTATGTCCAATGGATTTAATAACCCAGCTGGTCTTTGGTGTTTTGCTTTAACTTGTTGGCAACTATGCATTTTGCCATAAATGAGCCTATACTTCCTTTCATGTTCCTCCACAAAAATGTATCTCGAAGGTCTCAATACATTTTCGTACCACCAGGTTGTGCGGTGTACGGGGTGGAATGGGCATCCTCCAATATCTCCTTTCTCAAAATTTCATCCTTAGGTACACAAATTCTCCCTTTAAACATTAGTGCCTAATCAGAAGCTATTTCAAAATCCTTTCTCTTACAAGTACCAATCTCATTCTTGATCTTCTGCAAAAATTGGTCTTTACCTTGTGCTTCTATGATTCGATCTCTAAGAGTGGGTTGAACCATCAAGTTGCTAGATGAGCAATAACTTGTTCTAGCGTGGTAATCACTTTGGTTCATAAATTTTCCAAGTCTTTGATCAACTCCATCAGAATAGTAAGTAATGATGCCAATTGTCCCATCGACTTTCTGCTTAGTGCATCAGCAACAACATTAGCCCTACCAAGATGGCAATGAATAGTACAATCATAATCATTTACTAGCTCCAACCATCGTCTCTATCTAATATTCAATTCCTTCCACGTAAAAAAAAATATTTGAGACTCTTATGATCCATGTAAATGTCACACTTCCCTCCATATAAGTAATTGCGCCATATTTTTAATGCATGAACCACCGCTGCAAGTTCAATAACATGCGTCGGGTAGTTTCTGCTCATATTGCTTCAATTGTCTTGACGTATAGATAATTACTTTTCCATGCTGCATCAGTATACATCCCAAACCGTGTTTGGATGCATCACTATATATAACAAATCCTTCTGAACCTTCAGATATTGTTAATACAGGTGCTGTAATCAATCGTTGTTTTAGCTCTTGAAAGCTTTGCTCACACTTATCTGTCCATTAAAACTTTACTCCTTTCCTTGACAATTGTGTTATTGGTCCAACTATTTTGGAAAATCCTTCTATAAATCTCTGATAGTATCCAACCAATCCTAGAAAATTTTGAACTTTACTAGCATTAGTTGGTGTCTTCCAATTAGTTATTGCTTCCACCTTTTTCGGATCTACTTCAATTCCTTGGGCAGTAACTACATGATCGAGGAATCCAACTCGTTCAAGCCAAAATTCATACTTTTTAAATTTGGCTTATAACTTTTCCTTACACATTATTTCTAATGCTATTCTGAGATGTTCTTCATGTTGATCTTTACTCTTGGAGTATATTAGAATGTCATCGATAAAGACTATAACAAATTTGTCTTTATAACAAATTTATCCAAATACTGATAAAATACTCTATTCATGAGATCCATAAACACTATCAGAGCATTTGTCAATCTGAATGGCATAACTTTGAACTTGTAATTTTCATAACGAGTTCAGAAAGCTGTCTTAGGTATATCACTTTCTTTAACC